GTTCGCTGCGGATGCTTTGCGCGTCAAGGGTTGGCACTTCGCGAGCTCTTTTCCACCAATCGTTGTCATTACGCGTTTCAACAATTGGTGGAGAACAGACTGACGCTGCGCCAGACCCACCCCACCCCCTCGAATCAGTAGTCTCAGCCCGTAAACAAGACCCGCGAGCAGTCGAACTTTTCCTGTTGAAGGTTAGTCACGAGCTTGTCACTTCTGAGTGAGATGTCAGGTTTGATGTCGACTAATTGACGAGACTGTTTGCTCAATGAAAGTAGATAGTAGACTGCTGTGATAGTTACCAGAAGGAGGAGGTGTCCTGGGAAGCAGCTAGGCTGGTGAATGCAGGTTGTCTTGGCTGGCAAACAGTAAGAATTTCATGCTGCAGGCTCCCTTTATTCACGTCAATTTCTCTTGTGGACGTTCAATGGTGACGTTGTGGAGTTTTGACGTAACCATAGAAGGCCCATATTCTTGGTGAAAAATGTTCTGAGCCCCGCCCGCTTGGAATGGGTTCATTCTACAATGCTGACTGCTGGTTTTCTTTGGATAGAGGAAACAGTTAGTCTTTCGCGTCTCGCAAACTGAAACTCCAGCACGGCCGAAACCCTCAATAGCCGACATGAAAACTCTCTGCATCCCTTTCTTTGCCGGTCAAGATGCGGCTATTAGCCTCGATCTGTCTCATTTTGGTAAGGCCTATCCGCTTTATTTCCGATCTTTGCTTTGGTAAGAGAATGTTGTTGCCAAATCCTCGAACCTTTTCGATAGTTGATGAAGGTTTTTCGCGGTTTTTCGATATTTCACGTAGGGGCTTTCTACGATCCTATGGGCGATGCCAGTTTAGTTTACGTAAGAGGGTGCGTGCCAATTGTTTTGTGGAGCGGTTTCGTTCAAGGTGATGTTGCACAAAAGGTCGACAAGGCGTGTTGAGTAATATGTCTAGCGGAGAACATGTAGCGGTCCGGCTCTGTGTTAGCTCATGACTATCAACAGCTTCCACATTGTGGCGAACCTGTGCCTGTTGTGAAGCTTGCGATTTAGGAGCTATTTCCGGTCACAGGATTTCATACGATTTTGGCTTTGTTATCATTTAGCTTATTGGTTAGACTACATTGAAAATCCCTGGAAGTGCGGTAGGCGTGGCTGCGTCTTCAGCTTATGTGGCCGTTTTGCTGTGCTTTTTGATGAGATTCTTTTTTGTTTTCGCAGTTGTGATTCGCGTTCTGTATAACCTAAACTGTGACGTTGCTCGAACAGAATGATCTGAACTACGCCTCGCGCTATCTTTCTTCTGGGTAAGGGGTGTAAGCCACTCGTTTTGCCTCACTCACCGGCAACTGTCCAATATTGGGCTCAAGGACGGGCGCCTGGTGGAGCTTTTTCACGAGGTGCTTATATCGCGTTTTACCATGCTGCACACTCGATCCAGGTGCACATCATGGTGTGACGATTTTTAGTCGAGTCTGCTAGCCGCCCCCCCCTCCTACTATCGACTGGAGAGTCGGCGGCAGCGGGTAGCAGGGCAAGCATTCGGATGGGATTTTGGGTCGAGCTTTTACGACCCCCCGTTTTTTCAGGGCTGGTCGACCCCCCCCATGCTCGTACGATTGGCTTGCATGCTGATCGTGTTGTGGTTTTCTCGGCGAAAAAGTTGTCGAGCGGGGGTTATGTTAGTAGGCATGCGAGTACTGCTACGGGCGTTAGCGCTGTCAAACGTTCTAACGTACTGAAGTTCGTTCAAAATCACAGAGAATTGCTTGCGGGTTCGTTGGGGATTTTTTTTGTTTGGAAACAGGTTTTTGAATCAATATATTTTCTTTTGTAACTCAATATTTCAAATCTGTGAACGGATTCGTCGTTGTATGAGGACTTGCTCTTTCTAACACTATTGACTGTTTGGAAGTCCTGGCGATTCTGAGATTGGCGTTTGGAGGATTTGTTGGGGCAGTATTTCGAGCTTGTGAAAAAACGTTTCTGTGTACCGTTTCAATGTGAACGTGTTCGAAATCAGGACGATGTAGGAATAAAAGTATCCTGTGGTGGAGCAGGGGATATGGTTGTTCGGTGATCACGCCAACTCTGGTGCGCGCGCCTGAGGTCGCGCAGTGGATGGATGTTTGCCAACTTGCTGCATAATCGTGTGTCCACGTGCGCGCCAATGTGTCTGTTAGGATTCAGGGGGTCCTATGGAGAACTGTGCACTTGTTACAGTGTTTTTCTTGCGGGATGATTTGTAGCGTGGTCCGTGCGAGCGCCAGATCTGTGCTCCGATGTTGCTGTTTCGATAGGAGACAATGGTGATGGAAACGTTGGTACTTAACGATATGGTGTCCTGTCGTTTGTCAGAAAAAGGTTGGCTCAGCGCAAGTGTGGTGTGGATTCGCGTGACCGCCATTCATCCGGCGCGAGCGCAACGTATGAGTTGTAGTGTTTATCACTTACGGATGTTGTTTCGACCTTATTATATTCAAATTATTTTCGATTAGTTTGTGGATGAGTTTAGTGTACTCATTTTTTACATATCGAGTTATCTACGAAGCAAGTTCGTCTATACAGGGATTCAGCACCTGATACACCTTTGCGCTGCTTGGATACTGGATCAGCATCATTAGAGCCCCCCTTCCTGGCGGCCAATAGCGCCCCCTTGGGGATTCCCACCAATGCTTGTGTCTGGCGGGTAGGGGTGGGCGGGGGCGGGGATAGTAGCGTGTTTGACTAGGAAATCTACAAGTCAACCCGCTTCCTCAAGCCAACGTGAAATCACCTCTTCTCCACGTGGAAAGTTACGACCCCCCCCTCCTTTTACAAGGTTCTGTGAAGCGTGAGAAAATCAACTATCATAAATAATTTCAATCCAAAAGACCAAAAAGGGGAACCACTGGGGTGAGTCTGTTTTCCTTGGGTTTGCTCTCGGTTCTTCTTCGAGTGGTTCCTGTAGATGTTCGGACGCTAGAGAGATAGGCGATTGTTGTGGAGTTAGAGGTACTCTAAAACTTGAATCCATTCGGGCCCGAAGACGAAGATTCAGTCGAAACGTGGCACTTGAATAAAGGTTCCATTCATTCGCGAGGCACAAATACGACGAAGATATCCAAATAATTTTATCCCCGCCAAATACGACCTCCCCTCTCCTGGCGGGTAATACGATACCTGCTTCTGGATCCAAATAACGTGTGCTGCGCCGTCCGTAGGGCCCTACCGCACTGCTTTTTATCAGTTGTTTCATATACAACTTGATTATTTGGTATTTTTTTCACTTTCTAGGGTTTTTTGTAGGAGTAGTTTTTCTTGTACAAATTATATTTTTGGCAGTTCGATGGTTTTCTGCTTGGTAATATCGTTGTGGGATTTTAGATGCCTTTGGCGTATGACTTGTGGTGCCGGCATATAGTGTAGTAGGGGTATATGTGGGGTGGATGTGCGAAAGAACGGAGTGGACGAGGTCAACTGCGAAAAATGGGCATCATGTTGTTAGTATAAATTCTGGGGACGACGTTTCATGGCATATTACATAACTACTCCAGAAGCTACGGCTGCAATGTTGTACTCATATTGCATCACGTCGCTTCTACAATGCCTTCGTTCCATTTGTTAGCAATGAATCATTAGAGCGTATTAATCATTTGTGGGCGTCGGCGGCATGGGGAGTTTTGCGGACGTAAAGTTGCGGCTGATAGCGCCTATAAGGCACTTCCCTGGAAAAGGACATTACGCAGCGCCTGCTCATGTGTCGCGGTTCGTCCTGCCAGGCTCTTAGTCCCGTTTCGTTCGTCTTGCGAGGGATTTCGCGTTGGCAACTGCCTAAACTTCTATTCAAACAATTTTCGGGCTCTTTACTTATTTTTTCGTGAATCTTCGACCGCTATTCATATAAGGTATTGGGTTTGATCTCTGTATATCTTTTGCTTTAGGACTGTTGTGTTCCTTAAGGCTCGTTGAGTTTTTTAATTAGTATATTTCTTTTGTATTTTGCAGCTCGTCGTGGCTTCTCGCTGACTGGCTGCAGCAGCGGCTGCTCTGTTTCTGGCGTTTACTACTTCCGTTCCTTTTTCTGACTGAGCTGGCGATGGGGCACCTGTTCGTGCGCTTTCTTGCGTTTTCCTTTTATTCACTGTCGTGTAGTGTGCCTCTTGGACTAAATTGCGTGCTCATTCCTACGTATCTCGTGGGATGGACCACTACTGAGATCGCCTTGAGTTTCGTATCGTATGCTATGTGTTGGTTCGTACGAACATCTTCTTGTCGACATTTGCTGCCTTATATATATAAACGCAACGTCTGTCTGTCTGTATGTAAGGTCGTTTGTGTCTGTCTGTCCGGCATTCGGATCCACCTGATTCGGAGGGGCCGGGTTAGGGGTGGGTTTGGGAGGGGCAAGATGTTTTACGGAACCCACTTGACTTGGGCTAGGCGCACTGTGGGCGCGCGGTTGCCCGTTATGAGTACATATTGGGCAAAAATTCGTAGGTTCGGTTATAAAAGAGACCGAGAGTCGGAAAAGTGGCAAATGATTAGGAGTCGTGAGCAACGAAATGACGCGGACAACTTCGTTCTGGGCGAGGCGTGTCTTAATGGTGGGCAGGATGCTTGGTCACAAAATTTCTAAGAATTCGATAGTTCGGTTCAAAGTGCTCAGAGAGTGGAAGAGTGGGCAACGATTAGGGGAGCGTATATACGAGAAGGTGAAAAGGTAAAGTGCGTAATTCTCAAAACATTATTTTTTTGGACCGTCCGCCCGACCAAGCCGGCCGATCCGACTGGCCCTCCCTCTCATGGAAAACTTTTCACCGGGACCCACTTCACACGCGGAAAGACGACCGATCCGACTGGTAGGTTTTATGTGAACAATACTGATTACACGGGAACGATGCGATCTTTGTGAACATTAGGAAACATTTCTCCAAAGTTACGCTTAAAACCAGTAGCCATTATCTGGAGACGTTTATGCACTGGCAACAAGCTATATATAAGAAGATGTACAACGATCGCTTTTTGAAAGCTTAGAACGGCTGATTGAAGAGGAACGAGTTGATGATGTGATATGCAACCGACGGCCTATCAGTAGGAACCATGTGACCGGCGCCCTGAACAAGGTTGGTCATCTGGTGCTGAAAACCATCTTGATGTTGTACAAGAGGCACTACTCACCCTAACCGTTACGAAATGAAGACCGTCGTAATGCGTGTAGAAACCACCTATCTGACCATCGACCACATAGTGTTTTTTCGCAGCAATCTCCTTAACATCCCAGAAATTAGTGTTTTCAAGGGAACAAAGAGAAAGTCGCATCGACTAATGAAGTAGCCCCGAAGGATGGGAAGTTTCGTTGGCTCTGGCGGAATGCGACCCCTGATTTGTCCTAGGACCACGATAAACTGCCGCCACTTGCCTCGACATCACCTCCGCTCTTCCAAATTGTTAATGCTAGTAGGTTACGGAGAGCGGAGATGTTGTAGTCACAAGTGACGCGTCTACCACTCGTGCGGTCCTGGGTTCAAATCCCGGGTCGACTGCCACCCAGGCCGTCCAAGCCTTCTACTCTCCGAGGACGGTAGATTGGTACCAGATTCGTTTGAGTGGATAAAAACACTACGCTGTATATCGACTGGCCCCCGCAACTCATTATAAAGGCCACTTCGCATTAAATAAGCCGTTACGATTCTGAATGGGAGCAGAATGTGTGCCGCATCCAAAAAAGAATTTATAACGGTGATGACTTCAACCCTTATAGGAGTAGGATGGGGGTGGGGGGCAAGTGGGAGGCGAGGGAAGAAGACTGGCTTGTATATAGGCTAGGTCCCGCAAGTTATTGCATAAGGCACATGGCATTCAATAATCCACTACGATTCTGAATGGAAGTACAGTGCGTGGCGCATTTCAGAAAGCGACTAATAAACGTTGAAACTTTACTCTCTACCTTCTTAGTAGTTACATTCTATTCGTGGAGTAGTTTTAACCACTGCTAATTCAAAAAGGAATAATTGAGTCGAAACGATTGAAAATGGTAATTATTAGCATGTTCTGAGTTTTAACATCTATCTGCGCGAGGCTTCGGCAAGTGATATTTTACCTATACTGACTACAGCCTGTTATTATCATTCAACAACAAGAAGTTCAAAGCCCATGAAATATCTCTCATTTGGTATGGCATGATTGCGGTGGCGATTAGCAGCTCCTCAATACGGGAAAGTAATTCTCGCCTTTGCGGAGATTCTCAAGCTGGCATGATCATTTGGCATTCTCGCGTTTAATTATTTTGATAGAAAGCTAGTTGTCGACGTAACTTATGAAAAATGTCAACGGAAGCACTGAGCGAATGCTCTCACCTGCAGACCGAGTTTGCGCGAAAACCTCTGTCCCATAAGGAAATTACAGGCCATATCGACGTCGCCGCTGTAGATCATTCCTGAAAAGGGACGTTGTCTTTACGAGGAAAATAAGTTAGCGACCCCACTCGAGGCAACATAATGTGACGATTCACAAACCCTTGAGCCCCTGTGCTAGTGCGTTCTTCACTCGCGTGTCCATTTCACCATATTGCTGTTTGTATGTGTTGCTGATTTCATCACTACAAAAGAACGATCATCTCAAGTCAGTGATTTACTTATTCACAGTGTCGTTCTTCACCTGCAAATCGACCACGGTCCAAGGGTGGTGGGGATCCCTAGCGCTCGCCTTACATCCGGGCGATTGAGGTATACCGTCACGGCGGTCTCGTTCATGCACGGTACAGAGGATAGCTGTAATAGTCTTCCTTACTAGTAATTGTGAACAGGAAACAAAGCTCGGACCAATACCTGCGAGACATCAAGTTCTTTTCCGGTTCGTCGTTTGTACTCCAGTCGGAATCGTTTGGAGACTTCGGCACCAGGAACGTTGATGCAACTGTCGTACATGTTGTATGGGTTTATTCCACCCTCCCTGAACACTTTAATATTTTATATTATCGAGTTTATCACGAATTATGTCCTTCTCTAGTACCCACCAAGCTGACAATGTCGTGACCTGCACAAACAACGAGCATGAGTCGAGCCCATTAAAGGAATGGAATGGACAGCCATCGGTATCGTTGTTACAGCACTGCGACTTGATTTTCTGCCACTTGCTGAAAGTGATAAGTGTTCCAACAGAGAAGCCACTGAATGAGGCTAGGAATTGCTCTTCGCTCGGAATTCGATTATGAATATGGAATAAATATGGAACTAGAAAAAAACAGCCCCATGAATTCCACAACGGACAGATCAGTAGACAACGGTTGAAAGTCGAGGACAAATTCGGCGCCATTGATGGAATGGCGTCGGGTGGGAACCTTGTCCAAGTGCAGCTTCATGGCACGAGAAACTATGAATTCTCGTGCTGCAACAGGGGTCAGAAGCAGCCCCAAATTGCCCAGGAGTCTTCGAGAGGAAAAGGAGAAGATGACTATGATGCCGGCATATAAGAAAGTGGCGAGCGTACGCTCATACCCTCGAAATCCCTAAGATGCGGTAGGCATTCCTGCGTACTTCGACTGAACGTTTCAGTGGCTGTGCTTTTTGTGAGAGATTCTCATAATACAATCGTAGTCGTGTCCCTGTCCAACACTAAAGATGACAGTCGTCTCAAACTGAAATATCTCACAAGTAACCCATTCTATGCCATGTTCAAATGCCATGCCTATTCCGTCTCAGGGGTAAGGGGTGTACTTTACGTCAGCGTTTTCGGCATTTGCTAAAGTTTCAGCGACCAGGAAAATATGACAATCGATTCATTTTTTTTGAGCGGACGACAACATGTCAGCGACTACGAAATTATAGGTATCAAACTGGCGATATATCTCTACTTTACGCGAAGTATGAACGCATTCCAGCAGCACAAGGTTGCTGTCTGCCGTTCGGTTTCGAGGGCAATTACTGTCTTGACACCTTCAAGAACTCGTCCATGGTAAGTTGTCCATGTGACAGATTTGTTCTATGCAATCTTCCACAGTTGTAGTTTTTGTTCAAGTGAGTGGTGGAGCTCACACCATTTACAACAAAAATGCTTGAATTCATACACAAATTTGCTCTTTTAACCAGAATTTCTCAAGAAGGTCGTGCGTATGCGCGGATAATCAAGAGAGAATATCCTTTAAAAAGAACATAGTTAATCCCTATGATTGACCATTTTTGTTCACTACTCACTTGTCATCGATCATTCCGTGAGCATACTCAAAGTTGACCAGAGCATCAGTACCATCATTGTCCGACACACATCCGTTACCAATTGCAAATCCCTGAAATCATAGCTTTTACGCATGGTAAGGAATTTACAGTTGATATCGTCGCCAACAGTCGGGAAGTGGAGGGTGTGTGGGAGGGTCCAGACGTGGAATGAGCCCAAGCGCAACGTCTTCACCACTAGTTGTTCCCTTCCTTGGCCGGTCACTTAGCGATCACTATTGGTGAAAGATGCCGCTGGAGGGGCCCATTCCGCCCCACTTGATACGACTGATTGCGACGGTATCAACAATAATAATCATTATGTAGTATAAGTTGCGAAATGAGACGATAGAGAGTATTCTGATCGTTCTGATCATGGACGTAGGTACAAAGGCTAGGTGTTTAAGTATATGTGAGTATGTGTGCTTCCACACCTCGGATGGGGGCGTGGCTGCGAAATTCATTTGGGCGTGGTGTAGGATGTTTCAATGGGTTGTTCCCATCTTGCCATGAGATTGCCATCCCCTCTTGCGCTGGACAAAAACATGATTACGAAGATTTGTTTCCAAACCCACAAATGCGCGGCTACCACGAGGTTCCAATGAAGTAAGCGACCACGCCTTGACACATTCCCGGGAGTGTGCTTGCATCATGATGCGTGGTGTGTGATGGTGGTGGGTGGTGTTTTGGTGTCGTGTGATTGTGTGTGTTTGCCACAGTGCTCATGCTTTTGCTTTTGGCCACAGTTTTGAGAAGGATGTAACTGCCCAAGCAGGCAGGATTCCTTCCTAGAACTTCCGGCAAGATTTGTCGTACGATTTACGACTGCTTTCGCTTCAGTCACTTCTCGAAGTAACTGCAAGGGTACTAACTGGACCTCCATTTGCGTGTGAAGTGGTTAGTCCCCTGACATTTTTGGGGGCTCCTCCTTTTTAGAAGTTTGCCCTCCAATGTTGTATATGTTTCTGTCTCTATCTTTTGAATAGGTGATTTGGGAACCGAATCATTGATCTTGCAGCAAGCGATACCCGTTCGGGGGTATGTGGCAAGAGAATCGTAATTTGCCGCGCTAGTGGGCGTCGTGTGCGACTTCGCGCCAGCTAATGACGAGATTTCAGATTATTGATCGAGAATAGACAATGTATGACCGAAAATAGACATAAGCGTCTACCATGTTCTTGCCTACGTAAAATCCGATGCTCCAATTGAAAGGGTAGTGCAAATCATGGAAATGTCGCTCCCATTGTCGTGCGCGACGAAGCGACAAGTTGCGATTCTCTTGGCCGTCTCCCACCCATTCAGTGAACACCTCTCCCACCGAGGGTGTGTCTCCCTTATTTCACTCGCCAACCTACTGCTCACCTTCAGTTATTCTTCCATTCCCTTGACTACTTTCTAGGCGCTTTAGCAGCTTTTCCCTTGGCGCTCCACTCAGGTACACGCCCCGCCCCCACTTGGGCGCACACCCCGCCCGTTGTAGGTGGACCTCAATATGGCTTGCGTGCGCTGCGTGCATTTTGATTCGTACCCCATCGATATCAAATATGCTCGCAAAGAGATTTTTACGCGTTCATTCCTGGGCGGTAAGACAAACACACAAACACACAGACAACTTCTGGCTTATATATAGAACGATGAAGTGGGTGTTGTTATCACAACCATAGTCAAAACCCCCTTAGCTACCTGGTGGTTCAATTCTCCCATCACTGTCCTTATCAAATTCACTGATATGAAAGGACATTCTGTGGCCGGTCACACAAACATTTTGATGAACCAGCATAAATCCCGAGTAAAGTCCCACATTCTGCACAGCTTCTCATTTCCTTTTTCTTTCTCCTGTAAAACTACGGCAAGAACGATAAAAAGCAGAAATCTCATTTTCGAGTGAACGTCGACTTTCGGAGTTCTGACTTTCTAATATCAAATATGCCGGCGAAGAGATTTTTACGCAGTTCTCATTCCTGGGGGTAAGACAGGATGCGTTAGAGATCAAAGAAGGTAGTAATTAGACGCAGCTGACTCTGGAAGTGAGTTGGGTACGGTCCCATTCCCTGATCGAGATCCATGATATTCTGGGTAGCCATCCTCACATGCGGTTTTCGCATTGCCGAGTAGTAGAGAAAAATTGAGTATTTCTGAATGAATTCAAGCGCGACTTCACCCGTGTTTCGAAATAGTTAGCGTAGACGGTGGCTGTCGTTGCTGGGCCAGTACCTAGCGACATCGCGCCCAAGTCCCACCAAAAAAACAGAGAATTCTCTCTTCCATGCACACCTGCTTTCGCTAAGCATCTACTTTCCCCCTTGAGAGATCCTGTGAGGAATGTGTGCATAGTTCACGCAAGGACTACAACATTCGCTACCAAAGGAAGGCTAAGTCCGCCTGCGTCTCCAGAAGCTTGAGTAAACGGCCGTCATGCTGTGCTGGTGACCGACCTATGCATTTCTTACCTCGCAATTAAATAACCCCAGTTTGGAAGCACTGATGCAAACGCTACCCTCTTCCATGGCAAGCGATATCCTTCGTGAATACGATGCAGGTGTTGGCTACCTCGACTACGGAGGCATAATATGGGATTGGTCAAAAAGTACTTTGAGCTTTGGGTAACTTTTGGGCTTTAAAAGCTTCCACAAAGTCAGCATGATATACCCGTCTACGAAAATGTAAGAGAACACTCTCCACTAATCAGGGGTGAAAACATCAAAATATTTTTGACACTTTTCCTAGAACAATGCGAATGGTTTGTCTGGTATGAATTCAATCATTAATCCGCCATGCTTTTTTGAATGAACTTCTACCGGATTCTTAGAAGAGGGACAGCCTACCTTGATGTTCATGTGGAATTGTGTCTGTCTATCCAGAATGGTCTGTACCAAAGTTGGCACATAGATTCCTGAAATTTAAGACATCTCTTCAATACTGTTATACAACATTTAAAAACAAGAAAATGTACTCCATCTTCATGAGGTTAGGAGGCAGTTCGAAGGAAAAGGAGTCTAAAATACCTCCATAGGATTCTCCGGTGACGTAGAAGTCATTTTTCACATACTGCGGAAACTCTCCAAAGAATGCCACCAATGCCTCCCAGTTCTCACTAGCCGTCTAAAACAGCAGAGTAAAATCCTCATAATCAATAAAATATGGGTGATCTCCAAATAGAACTCCATGTCAGACTATAAAGGCATTTTCCACTCTTTGGCGCGACGACGCCACATATCATTCGACTGTTTGGTTCATATAACAATACATGGCTAGTTTTCCATCGACATCTTAGATTTCTACCACATGGTAATTTCTATCCGCTGACCACGTTCTGTGGCAAAGGTCATGTTGGATTGAGTCTTCAGTATTCAGAATTTCCTCAATTTCCTCTAATTCCACCTTACAGCACCTCACAGTTCACATTACAACCTTTGCGATGTTTCCAGACAATGTTTTCGGATGTTCGGTATCTGGGACCAGTTTTAGATGATGACGTACGCTATTAACCCCAGATCGCTTTAGTAATACGCACCAGAGATGAACGTTGTTCTGTTAACCATCTCGGCTCTCTTGACTACCTCTTAGCATGACGTGAATCTTGAGAAATCGCATGCAGTTCTTATGCTTCTTCTACATGGTGGTTCTACATATACAATGAGGTTTCACCTTTCAAAAACCTGGCCGTAGCTAAAAAATGCTCAGCACCCTAATGAACCTCTACCTACCTCTTCCCTGTAGCGTTATCTCAGGAACGGACAACGGCACCTAGAACTTGAAGGCAAGGCCAGCTGCTAGACGTCGCGGATAAGTGGCATGAATAGGGTAGTCGCGATGCCAGCAGACTCAGTAGTGACGGACAAAGCCGAAAAAAAACGCAGCAAATGCTCGAAGTGAGACCCCTCCGAAACAAGCATGTAAGATATGACAGCGTAGGAAATGGGTGTTCAAACGAAATCGTCGAAGGTGGTGCTGTGGTCAATATAGCCTCAACATTTCATTCTAGCTGATTTCTGATTGACAATTTTGTCCCTGCCTACTTTCCTCGACGGGTGTTCCATTCTTACAATTCGCCCCAGAATTACCTAGAGCTGTGGGTAGGCCAATGAAGGTATGTCGAAGCATTGAGAGGGACGACAGCATTGGCGTCCTCGCGTCGATTTGGCACCGCGGAAGTGGTGCAGCGCTGCCGCTGTGTACTAGGCTACTTGCTGCCAGAAGAGGGAGGATTTTTCAGCAAATCGTTGAGGGCGTCTTGGGTCGTAAAGTTCATGAAGGGCCACCTTGTAAAGTCTAGCGGAGCGCTAGACTCAGTAAGTTCATTAGTCAGAAAATTTATGTTTCCTTCGCTAACGTTGCCCTCAATGGTATTACAAGTGCAACAGTATTCATAGTGGATACGGTTTCGCTCCGTGTACTCATAGTTGAACCATGGCCCACGATTCACCCGAAGACCTGTTGTCTATCCAAAGCAGGCAGAATAATATAGCTACTCACAACAGTTCTACCGGAGACTAAGCTATCCCACAATAGTGACTCTTCTTGCATGGGGAACATAGAATATCCTACGGAACAGCAGAACCTAATAGCAACGGTTCTGATATTAAGTGAACGATTTCGACCTGTGAAACGCTTATCCTAGCGCTGAAAACGTTCTGGGTCCCAACCCGAAGGCCAACAGTGAATGAGTGAGGTATGATCACCACGGTGACTTCTTGCTCCTCGTAACATTGAGCGTTCTTTTTATGAGAAAAACGAGCAAGCCCTAGGATTATAAGTAAGCCCTTACGTTAGGGTTATGACTTTTGTGTCACTACGGTAGGTTAGGTATGTAATAACCTATTGGCCCATTTTTTTAACCCTTTCAAACACCTAATGTTCGTGACACTAGTGACAGCAAAGTAGCACTTCTTCGCTGAGCGGTGATATCAATGGTTAGCTTGGTTAGCTTATCTTCCACGTTTTATTTCGTGCATTCCTGAGATGACATCAAAAACGCTAGAGGAGCAGAAGCGTTCGATATGATAGTGAACAGTCCTTGAACTTTGGGCGAACATGGTGTTTGAAAGGGTTAAAAATGGGCCAATATATTACCTAACCTACCGCAGTGACACAAAAACATCCAAGAGGCGTGGGGATGAGTTGTATGAAAAATAGGCCCCACAACTGGCAACTTCTACTCAATATTGAAAAAAGATTAGAGCAGCTCCTTCTCTGCGAGCAACTAATTATGCTGCAGTGGTCGCAGACCACTTTGCGGCACAAAAGCAGGTGACCCGCGCCGTCGTTCTTCTCTTTCGCCCGACCCCCTTTATTGGCCCCGCCCACCATTCTACCCAACCACAAGACCCGGTAAAGAACGAAGGCAGGGGAACTTTTTCGGTAGGAGTCAGCAGGTATCAATTGCGACGACCATACCAACCACAGCACCTCTGCCCTATGATCTTGTTCCATTATAGCACTTATCATTCTCTGCTAGCGCGCTGTGATGGGAGAGAGGTTCATTTGGTGCACTAATGACGATTTTTCCTGTTTTTTTCCTTCCTGTTTTTTCCTCTAACTTCGGCTTTTCTTAGCATTTCGACGTTCCTATTGACCCCCCCCCCTCACCACCACCCAGAATTTTCTACCGGTTTGCCTTTGAAGACATTTTGCAGACCGCACTTATTTTGTCGCATAGATAATAAGTGAGTCATAACTTTGTTTGATATAGGAACTATAAAATCAGAATCTCTAAATCCGAATTCTCTGAATGCTTTTTGCATTTCTGTTGCTCACGTAACAGGCACCTGATCATCACCAGTTTTAACGTTGCCGTCAGTGGCGAACGAGTATCCAACACCCGCAGGCGCCTCTAATGTGAGAATCGAAGCGTTCTTGTTCCATGAGTACGGATTCACCCAGAGTGTTGCTCCATCAGGATTGACCTTAATATAGTGTAATCATTCATATGGCTACCTGACGGCTGTATCTTTTCGCAAATTATCCCTTCTCTCACGCAGAAAGCTTTGGTCAATCTAGAACATATCAGCCAATATTCGTGTAAACATTACCATGAGTGGTCCCCATTCAGTTAGCAGTGCGGAAAGGCCGGAACATCCTGGTCCGCCAGTTAACCACACAAGAAGAGGATCGGTGCTGGGGTTGCCTTGAGATTCGACGAACCTAAAATAGCCAAGACACTGAAGAAAACGTCGCTGATTGAATTTCAACCAAGAATGCGCCGTGTAAGGCTGTTCGGCGACGAGGGGGGGGGGCATTCTGCACTGCTACTTCCCATCGACGATCATCTAGAGAGCTCTTTCTCGAGTCGAGAGGTTTTACCATGATGGCTCGACGAGCTTTTTTCAGCTTCTAAACTCCGCAGGTTCCACCAGAGTGAACCGGAACTAGGGAAGTAAGAAGGTGCAAAATGCCCCTCTCCCGTTGCCGAACGGCGCCTGCCGTGTATCCTTCTTTCCTACAGAGGCGCCACCTCATTTGCATTAGTGTTTCGTCTGCACAATGTAATGCGGGTCAAACCAAAAACTATAACAACTGGTCAGTTGGGAGGGGAAAGGGAAAAGTCCTGTCCGAGAAAATTCGGTAGAGACTGCACGTACTATTGATGACCACGAAATTTACTTTATTGGAGAAAAAAAAGCGAAAAGTTAAGCGATAAGCAAACCAGTAGTGCAGCTGGTGATTCTTTGTTGTTCCTACAGTATAGTACCCAGAGTACTGCTTGAAGTTGACAGCAGGCGATCCGGGCAGGTTGGTAATCAGGGCAGCGAGAGCACTGGAAATATGTGATCCTGTTCGACTTTTTGAGTGTAAGAAGAAGAGAAAACAGGATACCTATGGCTGACGAGTGAAAGAAGAAACACCCTCTGTAGTAACGTCATCTAGGCAACAAACTGAGCTGGTTTTTCGAAACGATTAGACAGAAAATCTTGTTAAGGCCAGAATAAGCGCATTTCCCGTTATCTCCCCATGCCTCTTCAGTTCGTTTACCTACGTCATTCATTTCCAGAAGACGGAGCCTGCCAAGATGATCCTGAACGGCTGTCCTCAGTAAGAAGTGGACTGCTTGGTTCCAACCTCGCGAAAATCTTGTTCGCGGGGCCACTTTCCACTCGCCGCATAACCTCCCCCTGAACACTACACGATGAATGCTTCTTGCTAGTTTGAGAAGACACAACCTTCCGTTCCTATTATCTGATAAAACAAAATTGAGGCCAGTAAGCGGTTTTTGAAAAGAACACTTTTCTTCTTTTTAAAAACCTTTTTTGTTTTTTTTAAAAACCATCTTTTCTCTCAGATGAGGGTGTACTGTATTTAGGTTAGCTCCGGAAGGTTCTCAGCGATTTTGGATGTTTCACTTCTAAACGATTCGTAACTCTTTTAATACTCATCAAATTTAATCGGAAAATTAGGCACATTCGAATCAGACACTTTTGCCAGTGTGACAGCAGTCGAGAAATCCCATCAAGTTACAAAAACTGGTGGTCGAAAATTCACGAAATCCACTTCCAGGGAGGCTTTTGCCTGGTCCTGATTGATAGGAAAGTGTTTTCCAGCAGAGTTCTGCAAAATGTTAGTAAAGGTGATAGTCGCGTGCGAAACGCCGTCTGAATGATTATGGGCGGTTGAGCGTAGAACTTTTCAACCCAATTCGTTCAATTTAATGGATAGCTGAAATGTGAAACGTGTGGGCGGCGTCTGTCATGCAAAGGATCGGGACCTTTCTTTTTATAAGTGTTGGCTGCATCTGAACAAAAATTTTCGGCTTCGATCGTCGAATTTCTTGCACAGTAGGGTGGTGCTGTGCATGTTCTTGGCCTGGTGATAAAAAGTCTATAGATATATTCAACACCAGCCGTATGACCAGCAAGGCCGTAGACCACGAAATTTTTTCGTTGAGGGGTTCGGCTTTGAAAAATTACTCGGTGGTTCGTCGAAACTTTCCAATCACTTGTCCGGAACGTCTCTGTTATTTCATACCATGACCCATTTTTCATCAACGGTGACCAATTCGGCCAAAAACTCGGTCGCTTTCTGCTGCCGCAAAGCAATGCAGAAGGAACTCGAGACGTTGCCGATTCCTGCGGTCACTCCGATTGTGGGGAACCCAATTGTCGAGTTTTCAACCTTGCCCATGCGTTCCAGGCCTTCTGAACATGATTTGCCAAGGCCTAGCTCTTCGTGCTATCTCTCAAACTGTTTGGATCGGTCAGCCTCCACAAACGCCTTCAAATCCTTGTCAGGCTATTGCCTTCAGGTCGACGTACGCGTTTCATCTTCAAGGCTGAATTCTCCAAACGAAGTTTGATTGAGCCATGTGCCGCACAGTGCTTTCTCTAGCACCTATTGGGCCCCCACCAACCTGGTTAATTTGATTGACGCTGTTTCGATTGCTGAATTGCCCAATTTATAGTCGAAGAAAAAAATCGTTCGAAGCTGCTCTTTTCACATGCTTGAAAAGTCTTGAAAAAGGAGGGTTTCATCAAGCAATGCGTGAAAACCCGGCAATTTATACCATCAGATTAGCGCAGCGAAATCTCTACAGATGGCCTACTGAGAAGCAAGGCAGAAGATGTGTTTTCTAATGAAGCAGTGAATGCTACAAAAAAAAAAAATAGCAGTGCACAAAACGCTGAGAACAAGCCTAGATACTTCTTCTGATAGAGTCGGGAACTTTAACCTCTAATGAGAGCAATGAACTTGATTATCAGGAAAATGAGGCGCATCTTATGCCAGGACCCGTTTTTTGTTCAGCAAGTTAAAGTGAATGTTCAGAAGTTCCTGGATCTCGAAAGACACAATATGAAATCAAATGCATGGCGCCAAGCGTCGAAGAGATTAGAGATCGACGTCGGGCAGGCATCCTATTATACATTGTGAGCAGAGGATGATTCTGAAAAGGCTAACCATAAACTTTCGGCTTTGAAAATGTTCCAGAAGGAATTGAGTTTAGAGCGGTCTATAAAGCGCCCAACGCCGGCAAAACTAAAGGCTAACATCTATCAAATGTACAATGCAGTCCTTCACACGATTACAAATGGTGCCCTACGCTCAAAAATTGAAATTCGGCAGGCAAAACGCAGAAAGCACGGGTTCTAGGCCCAAGGAGGCCCATGACCTACATTGACCGTGTCATTACTGCACGGGTACTCTCTGTCAATTTCTGGACTCTCGCCTGTTTTGTCGTGTGTTATCGTCTTTCGCGAACCACATTTGATCTTGACCATCTTAGGCTCGTCCGATGATATGATCAATTGATCAAGTAGGGCCATATTGAGGGCTTTTCATAATTATTTCTTCACTAGTAGGTCGAATAGTACAATGCACTTCTGTTAAACACTGTTACCTACGGTGTGCCATTGCTGGGAAATGCCTTTAAAATTATTACTCTCAGGAATGCGGGATATTCTTTATTTCCGGAGCTGTTTTAATCTTAGAAGGATTTCGTATAGGAAGCGCTTCTGCCGCTGAGAGCATGAAAAGCGCAGCAATTTTTCGAAAGATTTCCTCAGTAATTCCCCATCCGAGACATTATGGACTGGAAGCGTTCAAACTAACTTCACTACAAGTAGAGCTGGATAATACCCTGCCAATTTGCCTTCCTTTTTCACTTTTACTTTTTTTACTTCGACCAAAAAATACTTATCGCCGCATCAAGGTGTAGTTTACACCCGGCAAGTTGACCAGAGCGACTAGATTCCTTATCCCCGAGACGGAGTAGGCGTGGCTTTTGAGCAAGGCATAATACTGGTTACTAGTGGGATACTTCAATTTGAAACAACTGCTATCTTGTTCTGTATTAGATGTAGACATGTTTGCGTCTACTCCAAAATGAAAACTTCTCACAAAAACCTTGGCCGCCACCATTTTAAAATCAAAGAGGCAGCCACGCCTACCCGATCTCAGGGGTTTCGAGTATATCTATTGACTTCCACGTCTGTCAAATGACTACCCGGACAACCGCCACGTTACGCTCGGTCTCCGTTGTGAAAGCTGAGAACAAATAATTAATTATTAACATGATGCTGTGGATTGTTTATTTATCTACCTGTACAGCAATCAAAAGTGTGCTCAAAGGTAATCACACATTCATGACGACGAGAATCTAGCCAGGTACAAAGAGAACTGCAAAGGGGCTCAAAAACAAAAAAAAATGTGCAGCTTGGGCAGCTCAGGTATACTCCCTATCCCTTGTGAGCAAGATAGGCGCAGCATTTGAACATGGTGCGGTGAAATATTCCAGTCTGGGACAACTGTCATCTTGTTCTATGTCGGACAGAGGCACGACAACAATTGTATCAAGATGAAAATATCTCATCAGAAGCATAGACTCCTTCACGTCAAGTTGAAGCATGCAGCCACGCCTACTCAATCTTCGAGTATACCTCTTGCCACGCCTTCGTGTGGACTGATCGTGTTGCGACACTCCCCTCCTATGGGTGATATGATACGTGAAGTAAAGGTACAGCATTGCTAGGAGAATCCCATCAGGGGTTCTCCCAGAGAAGAGATGACACAGTACATGAGAACAAGCAAATGGGAGACAAAGGAGTTACGAGCCTTGCCGAACCATTGGGTTACATGGGTTTGTACGGATAAGCCCAGCGTGAAGGCTACACCATCGAACCACCATAGCGCGAGAGTCGACTGCATGGCGCGCAAACACAAAGGGATGTATCCATAAAAGCGAAATATTCTCGCACTTAATTCGACAAGACTGGGGACATACTACGGGTTTCAAACGAGGTTTGTTGCGATGGCACAGAAGGAATCAACCTTTCGGGTGACTCAGAATTTCTCCCGAACCCATCATAAATATCTCTTCGACAGACCAGTCTTCAGGTGAAGCGTAATACATCTCGAAAAGCTGAGATCATCTGCTTCACAGTGATGTTTTTGGTTTCGCAAACAGTTGCACTCCTTGAACTTGGAAAGATAGAGAGGAACTCTAGTTTACCAGGTAGGGGATCTAGTGTTCTATAATGCTATTTCAATTCACAAGTATCTCCCTATTAAGGTTACAGTTTTTTAAGGGGGTGCCAGGCGCCCAAAAAGGGTACTCAATAAACATATCCCACTTACCTCCGCTATGAGCGGTATGAGGCGTACATTCTGAAGTTAGCAGTGCTGTTGAGAGGTGCCGAGGCCCTGTTTTGAGAGGTACACTCCTTATCCGTGAGACGGAGTAGGCGTGGCTTTTGAGCATGGCGTAGGATGAGTTACGCGTGAGATGCTTCAATTTGAAACAGCCGCAATCTTATTCCCTGTTGGATGTAGACATGATTACGACTGTTGCAAAATGAAAATATCTCACGAAAACCTGGGCCGCCGCCACTTTAAAATTGAGTACGCAGCCACGCCTACCCGATCTCAGGGATTTCGAGTACAGCACATCGCAATGACACCACTATTTCTCCCATACCAGCGCTGCACCGTGCGAGCAGTGATTCCCTCCAGTCCAACAGAGACTGTAAATGCCGGCATATGTACGCAATTGCAGAACACAGCGCTTTTGGCGTCATTCTTCGCGTTCGTTTGCCTTGAAATAGACGCCAGTGAGGTACATTTTATGTTCTTCGTGAGGTTTATTGTACATCGCTGATCTTCATTCTGAAATAAGTATTTGATGGAGAGTATGTTCCCTAACTGCACTGACATTTTGAACCCTGGGTTTTCTCCCTAGGATGCCTTTGTAGCGGTTTTATGACCGATCGAGGTTCTTGTGGAAGTTCCCAGCGAGAAGCGGGGTGGTGTGTTGAGGCCTACCAAAGTGCTTTCACGGATGGGCAGTGAAAAACTGGCCTTGCCTGTGCAGTCGTCAGATAAAAAATGAGCTTCGCCAGAGTTGTTTAGTTCGACGTTCCAGTGCCTTGCAAACCTAAAAATACCTTTGGAAGTGACAAAAAACAAGTCGATTATTTCTATTTTATGGACTTAGTTTTCCCCATTTGTCACAGAAAGCTAGGCGCGCGAGTTCTTGCTGTTGAGAGCAACTCCCAATTTTTAGATATTTTTGTAAAATGTGTCCAAGGTTCGCTCACCCGCGAACCTATTTGTGGATTCATTTTTAGCTCTGCAATCGTATACCAACTTCAGTGAGGAGGGGACTTCTCGGATTAGGCTTCTTATAGTAGATCTTATCGCATATTCCTGTTTCTCCGCCCGTCTTAGCTACTTATGTATTGTGATCCATAATCTTTCTTCAGACAATTTCTTCATATGAGAGGCTTAAAAGGCTCGCGAAAAAATGCTGCTCCTACATCAGTGTCGGATACTATTTGTTATTGGTGAGTTTATACTCTCTTTCTGGTTACCTACTTTTTTCTTTAGCCTTGTTCTCTGCGGATGATGGGGCTTGTCAGCGCGGCGTCAACAGACTTTTTTCTTTTTTTGGCGTAGCGATAAAGCATTATTTTATTGTTTGTGTCAGTCGTTTTCCACCAGTTGTTTTCACTCACCCGCTTTAACACAATGGACAATGGGATTGGTGACGCGCCAAAAGCAACCGCGCGGACACGCCCGTTAATCCGCAGCGTACCAGGCTGTATACAGTTCTGCATTGCGATGATATGGCTTTACATGTTACTTATTTTTTTCCTCACAAAACTTATGAGATATATTTCAAAGCACTGTGTTAGCTTCATTCCTGTGACCACGCTTTTTTTGTACAGGCGATATTGCTACCTTATGGTTAGTATTCTCCAGGGATTTATTAGAGGTCTACAGTCTTGTTCGTTGCGAATGAAGGGCGTATCTGGCGGGATGGGTTTGGCGCGGCTTGTTGGCGGGCAAGCGACGAGACTGAATGATATCGTTCATATCAGCTGTTTACCTACTGTTGTCGCTTACTCGCTTCGAACTGGGGAGAATGAGATTGGCAACCCGCCAAACCCATCCACTCTGACACGCCCCTTCACCGCACCGGGCAGATTGTACGGCCGCTTCCAGCCTTCCATAATTTGCGTAGCTTCATGTAAGTGGAACTCTTAGTGTCAGATTACGACATGCTATCGACCGTGTGATGGTCACATACGTCTATCCTTGTTTGGACTCCAGTAGGGCTTTCATTTCCCTGAAGAGATCTGCTGTGAAATAGGGAATAAGTAACCAGGTAAGTCCACCTCCTTACCGTGGATTTTTGAATGGAAACCTGGGTAGATCGATAGAGCCCAGGTTTCCATTCAAAGGTTATTTACAAATATAGGCAAACTGCAACCTGCATTTCACAAGCAACTTAAGAGCAGGTAAAGTTTGTAATGGTGCAGTAGGGTGGAGACTTGGTGGTGAGCTGTGAAGCATAAGCGAGGATTCGCATACGTCGAATCGAGTCGTCGACGTCGAACCCTACCACTGGACCGCGACTCGATTCAACGCATGCGATTCCTCGCTTATGCTTCACAGCTCATCACCAAGCCTCCGCCCTACTGCACCCATTACAAACTTTACCTGCTCATAAGTTGACTTTGAAATGCTGGTTGATGTTTTGCTATGTACACTTGTAAATAACCTTATAGGCTCTATCGAGCTACCTAGGTCTCCATTCAGAGTTCCATGGTAAGTTGGCGGACTCTGGTCAGTCGCATGTTACAACACACGCGACTGAACGAATTTTCAGGACCTTCCACTATTGACTTTTACGCTGTGGCTGCGTATTATTATCATTAATAATAGATTCCTCAAAATGGTAAGCTTCCCTTTTATACTCAATCCCTAGCGCCGCCAGCCCGGCCTTCTCTTTTGATCAATTATCTCACTGGTGTTTCAGCGTACTTTCCGCTAAACTTTAGTCTCCTGCTCATGTTAGTAATTTGAAAGGCCAACGAAGGGAAATGTGCGTGAAATAGGTTTTTCTGGGTTCATCGTGATTGCTTGTCGATCTTTTTATGAAACACGATTGTTGCAACGATGGCCGTTCAACTTCTGTTTTACGGGAAATTGGATGGAGCGAGGGTGAAGAGATGAAGTTTGCAAGGTGCTAATCGGAGCAGGTATAAAGTTCGCTGGAACACAGGTGATTTACTTGATCCAAGAAGAAGGCCGGTTAGCGCTGGCGAGGAATGAGTATACTAGGGATGGTTACCATTCCGAAGAAGTAAAAAAGAATAAGAATAGCGTGTAGACTGCAAAAGTAAGCAGCAGTGATTGCCATTATTTAGCATTTCACCCTCCCTCATCCTCCCCTCCCCCGCCCCCCCATCCTGCGCTGCATAACCATGGTGATTATTCTACAAGACGGAGGAGCCTTCGGTGTGCAGTTAGGATACTCAAACTCAACGCGTTATGCTTAGTTTAAATTAGTAGCTAGTCGGCACTATTCGACTATTACTACCACAGAATCTAAAGTCATTTTCCGGCGCTAACGCATTGTATCCCTCTGAGGAAGCGTAGCATGTGAGGAAAGTTTCACTCCTCCCCCTCGCCGCCTCCTCCCTCTCTCATCGAGCTCAACGTTAGCTGGGTGCGAACGATCAGAATGCCTGTAAGTTAGCATGCACTGAAAATACCTGTCATATCGTGAGCAGGACGCCGATTAACCTGGTATGCAAGTTTATATGAATTCTGGAAAAAGAAAAGAAAAAAAAAGCGCAGGGGCATCTGGTCCCTATACGCCAAGTGACGCCATGGCAACAAAACTGGTCGCAGTTTGGCTTGGTGCAGGCATTTAGCTGATTCCCATGGTTCACTGCCGTTGCCTTCAGTGTAGACCTGTGAGTTCTCGTGAAGCTAGTGCCGTAGTAGGATCTTCACTGACACTTGACAAAAGCCTATAGGTCTCCCAACGCACCGCTTGGGAGGGACACCTTGCACTTATTATAGTTCAAATGAACTAGAATAAGTGCAAGGTGTCCCTCCCAAGCCGAGAAGCGCCGAGTATTGGGCTTAATCTGTTGAAAACTTCAGCTTTCCTGAAAACTCGATTGTAGAATTAAAGTAATATGTCATTGAGTTGAAGAAAGTTAAATTTATTCTATTGGTTTGCGAGTTACTGAACACGCAGCTTATCTCAGTTTGCTATTCAATCCTTATTGTGAATGCTTCAGTGATGGTGAGCGCGAGATTGGAACTATGGAGCTGTTCTGCTCTGGGTGTTGCAAATGGTTCCACGGTCGTTGTTTGAAGGATTTGAAAGACTTGTTAGTTTAATTGGAAGATTTGGTTTGTTTTCGAAAAAGGGAAATATTTTGGATTTCAGCTATGGTCTAAGCTTCATGGTATGCTATGTGTTTCATTGTAAAGATTGCAGTCCAACTTCTGTAGAGACATGGGTAGCTAAGCAAGCAAGTAAGTCCATATTTCTGGTGCACGGAGCACGTATATAATGCATTAGGCCGTGACAGTACTCTGTGATACGCCACGCTCGTCATGGTGAATTACGGAATACGATAAGGCTTACTATACACCTATTAGGGACAGCACCGTCCAAATCAGTATTTTTCCAAGTTTTTCGAACACGTTTGGTCCCAGTTAAGGCCGCGTTCATAGCCTGCGCCGTGAAGAAATGCAGAAATGCGGGAACTGCAGAAGTGCGAAATCTGCAGAAATGACGAAAAGCAATAGATACGTATCGACTTGAAGACATGCAGAAATGCCGAAAGTGAAGAAATGCGGAATCTGCAGAAATGCCGAAAGCGAAGAAGTGCGGAATTTGCAGAAATGACGAAAAGCGTTACATACGCATCGATCTGAAGAAATGGAGAAATGGCGAATGTGCGGAAAATCGATACGTGTGAATTGCTTTTCCTCATTTCTGCAGATTCCGCATGTCTGCACATTTCGCACTTCTTCACTTTCGGCATTTCTGCAGATTCCGCATTTCTTCACTTTCGGCATTTCTGCATTTCTTCCGATCAATACGCATGTAATGCTTTTCGTCATTTCTGCACTTTCCGCACGTCTGCAGTTTCGGCATTTCTGCATTTCTTCACGGTCGCAGACTGTGAGCGCGGCCTAATATAGCCCAGAGGTGATGAAGCTTTGAATGAGGGAGATCGTTAAGAGATTTGGCCCCCATTAAAAGTGGCGTACCTTGCTTTTATGCCTCTTGCGTCCTAGCCATAACTGAATCCTTCTAGTGTGATGCCTAGGAAACTTCTGTAATTTCCCTACCCCATGGAAATCATGAACTCGGCGCTTTTTCGTTATTTTTTATTGGATCTGAAATGGGTCAATGTTATTAGCGAAGTGACAGTCCTATTCCAGATTTTAGCCATATGTGTGTAACAGTTCTTGCTAATCTGACGGCCGAGAAGCTAAAAAAAGACGGGTTCCAAAAGACGGGCGAACACATTTATTTCAAGTAAGTTGGATTTACGACTGGTCGATTATTTGAAGTGTTCGTGTTTATTGGGAAATCAGCACTTGTGCTGAACATAGAGAGTATAACGGCGCTGCTTGGAAATTAGCTGATTTCCCTATAAAAGAGTACGATAGAAAACTACTAAACTAAAGAGTACGATAAACTAAATGTATGTTTCAATCTGCGAGAGGTGGATGTGGCCTGTCTCAATAAAGACAGCAGTACAAGTGAAGTTTTACACACAGCTGTTGTACCATTTGTACAGATACCTGACACACTGGCGCACACGAGAGACGGGCAAGAGAATCGTAATTTGCCGCTTCGCCGCGCGCGGCCATGGGCGCGGTGTTTCCTTAACTCGTGTTAATCTGTCGATTGGAGCGCCGTACTTCGTCTATACCACGTCCGTAGACATTTATGCTATTTTTGGTTGTGAATTGCCTGTTCTCGCCATCTTCTACCTGGACCTTCGTCATTTGCGAGCGAGACGCGCACGCGACGCCCACGGCGCGGCGAATTACGATTCTCTTGTCACATAAACGACGCAGACAGAGCTGGGAAACTTTCAGGTCTTGTAACGCTTTCTTGAAAGTTTTTGCATGTCGTATCAGAACATCGTGGACCACAGAAGCGAGATCTATTTTTCTGTACGCATCTGGGATGTTAAAAAAGAACGACAATTTTTTGGTGACTCGAATCACCATTGCGACGAAATTTGCATTGCTGATTTGTCGTAATCGCATCTGTCTGAGAATTTTGCCCGACCAAAATGTGTCGATAACACCCGAACTTTTTGTCCAAGGGGCAAAATCGCTCCCATCGAAGGTTTTGAAAGGACGGACAACACTTTTATGGTCCATGCATGTATCCCTACTATGTGTAGCGAACATTTTTGCTTGTGAACCAAATGGCACAATATTCAGAGGGCGGAATTTGCTCAGGTCCATCCTTGTGTTCAGTACTTAATCGATGATTTTTTGGATTAGATTTCAACGCCAACCAAAAGTGCTTTTTGCATGAAGCCGTTGAGAATGCCATCTATCATAGTCCCTCTATCAATAGTGAAATAGTGTTTGAACTTCTACAAGGTGGAATCGCGAGTACGTATTTGATTCGAAGAATGTTTATTTAATAATGTTCAAGCCTAGAAAACGATCGAGTTCCATACAGCAAGTGATTCCCTGCGTTTAGCTCTATACGATTCAGGGGACGTCATATGCCGGGGAATCTCCACTAGAGGTCGCATCTGATCGCTGAAGGGAAGAGAATCGTATTTGGTCGGAAAGAATTTTTTCGACAGTTGATTTTTGCTGTTTCGCGCGCACAACGTAGGGAGACTTCTTCTCCCTACCCTTCGCTGGTATCGCAGCCGAAGTCTTGTACAAGTGCTATTCTCGATAGTTGAAACTAGTAGTTGTTTTGTAAGCGCCTCTTCCCCTCGTCAGTCTCCACGGCAGTTTTCTTGAGGAAAAAATTAAGTTTTTTCTCAGGGAAAAGGAAAGAAAATGGTAGAAATCTCGGAAAAATTAGTAAAATGGTAGGTAAAATGGAAGTTCGTACCAGTAACCACAGAAGGTACCCCTGATCGGGTTCCGTGAATAATCAGATGTAGGTGATTAAGAGGTAAAGGTTTATGGACATGAAGAGTTTTACGCCGGCTCAAGTATATCAAATAGCAAGCGCTGTAATTCTAATAGCAGTAAGAACAGGAATTCTAAGTAGAATTTAGCAGTGAGGGGAAATTCACTTTTCAATCATTAAAAAACCTAGGATTCATTCGTAGATTGCGACACCGAAGACTGCGACTCAGGAACGTTTACGTATCGATTGGGGGAATCACCAATATTGGCGCCAAAGAATTCCGCCAAATCGGTCGACTTTGACTGTCCTATTCTCCCTGCTTAACAGTCGAATGGTTTCCATGTAATATTTAATTAAGGGCACATCCTCCAATTCTTCAGTTTCACGAATTATAAACGGGGACCTATTGCTACCGAAGTGTGATGGTTTCACTGTAACCGCCTAGAGCATTGGTGATCCGCTAGCCTTCCGAAAGTTTTTTTTGGGACGTTGAAAGAATTTAGCTCGGCGTTGCATTCATACTTCGCGGCTTGAGCGATTCAGTGGCGCGGCTGCCTCTGACCGCGCTCCATAGCTGATCTTTGAACCGCTGCAGCGCTGTTAGAGTGCGTTTATACTTTGGCCCGTACGCCAGCGTTTCGAGCAACTATGAATGTGTAGGTGTCTATGTAGCGTTAACCAGCGCACCACAGTTCTCAGCGTTTAGGAAAGAATAGATATCGATCCAGCCTTCTGAGCATACGCCAGTTTGAGCCTTTCCCGGGTTTGCGCTTCTCGCGGGCAGTTTCTATCGGTCGGTCTACAAACAACTCGAACTCAATTCCTTTGGTCGCGCCAACTTTCTGTTTTTCTCTGCGCTCTCACATCTACATGGTATCTGATAAGAGGCTCGTCTGAACCAGGGTTCCCCTCCTCTGAGAAAACTCCACCCGGCTTGTGATATGTTTTTTTGCAGCTTTTGATGCCTTGGCAGCCGCAATCGCATTGCTTCTCTGCGCTCTAGCTTTTCGCACCAGGACCACCAAGAAAAGTCCTGTTTGTCATGTATCGGTCTTTATTGTCACAGATCGGTCTATATTTTCGTTGTTCAAAATGCTGCCGTGTGTTGGCATATGCTGGCGCCACGCTCGATATCCATACTTTTTTAGTCGCTCAAAACGCTGGCGTACGCTATTGGTGCCTATGCTTCTTGAAACGTACGCGCAAGAAGCTGACGCAAAATATGAACACAGCCTTAGCAATGAATCGTGACCCGCTGCAGTCTCGCGATTCTCCCTGAAGCGTCCATGCCACACAATATAATGGAGCCTTGATGGCTCCAAACGACCCAGTCTCATTTTACTCTGACACAATCAAGCGAACTGCTAATCTTATTTGTCATCTTGTATTTTTATCTTGTTTGATCATTGACGTGAACGCCTTGCTAGCGCTGCTGTGATGGCAAGTTCTCTGAAGCATCTAACTTTCATTTTAATCTATCTTTTTCAGCTTACAAAACACAATCATTCCTTATTTCGATGCTAACTGGGAGAATTTGACATCAATGCCTAGAAGGGTGAAGAATACTTGGCACACGACATTGCAAAAGACGTTGATCAAAGACGTTGAACTTTTCAAGGTAACTTACGACATACGCATTCTAGTACAGATTGAGATGAATTACGATGTTCAAGGTCAATCCTGACGACGAAAACAGTTTCGCACTCGTGGAAACGAACCTTGCCGATATCGGTCCAGTTAATGAATTTGTGAAACAGGTAAATTATGATCATTTCAACTTCTTTGACCTCCAAACCTCAATAATTTTCCTGAAGGAGATTTTGAGTGGGAGGGGCGTCAAGATTTTTTTGTTCTCAATTTGCGAAGCCGTTATGGGTGGAGCTACATTATTCTTGATGCTAAACTATATATCTTCTTTTCTGAATAGATTGGCCATCGTCGTCCGCATCCGTTCTCGAAATGTGTTCAGATCGGAAAGAAGACAGGCAGTGGTGAGAAAGGTAATCTCGCCTCAACCCTTGTTGGTGCTCAGCAAGGAACGGGTAGGACGTCCGGAGCGGACTCTGATGTGGACGGCGGTCCAAAGACCCGTGGAGCATCAAAAAGACGGAATGTTGATGGAGCAGGCGGTGGAAAGAAACCAAAACTGTAAGTTTTACCATGGATGCGGATAAATTGATCAACTGAGTAGAGTGGTCGAGTGCATTTGTTCTAGAAGTTTCTGTCGCAAATTTAAGTTTTCTGTAATGATCACTGCTGTTTTACGCCGTAGTTCGCGTTCCGAAGGTCAACCCAGGAATGCTGTTGTTAGCGAAAGTAGGACTCCATGCAGGAGTCGTACCCACACCTTACACTTTCCGGGCGAGTGCGCTATCCGTTACGCCACCAGGGCCGCTCTTCATTCTCAGCTCATGCAGATATAAGCGTTTCCGGTCGCGTAGCACATTAGATAATGGACTTTGTAGATATATTTTTAGCAATAGCTTCTTGAAAATTGGGAGGTGCTGATTAATGCATGGGGATCCAGATTTTCCTCAGGAGGGCTGCGGCTGCATACGAATTTTTCAGGTGTAGCTCAGCACATTCTAGACGCAACATTGCTTCTACGGGCAACTTGGCTTCAAGCCCTTAAATAGCATCAAGTTTCTGTTCTTCTCTATCCTATCACGTCTGCATGGAATTCTATGACCTTACGCGTTCCAACTTATCCTGCAGGATAAGCGGCTCATCCACACTGGAGTCCTCTTTTCCTGAAAAGCTCCCTCCCTAGCTCGCAACATGTTTTTTGCACCTTTCGATGTCTTGCCAGCCGCAGTGCATTATTGCTGCGCTCTGGCCATCCGCATCAGGGTTCCCACTAAAAGTTCTAATTGTCAGTTCACCGCGTAGCACACACGAAGTAGCCTGTCCTGAGTTGACTCAACGCATCAGCGAAGTTAGGCGAAAGTCTAGTCTTTCTGACGGATTGAGTAAAGTAGCTGGGACAGGCTTGTTCGCACACGAGGCGTGCACTGTGGTGAGCTGCAGCCAAAATTTTCTCTTCGAACATTCTGTTAAAAATCCAAACCGAGGGGGCAAACTCTTGAACGCTCTCAGCAGATTAGTATGAACTACCTGAGTGTGCCTGTGTTATCAAGAATCTGTTGATACACTATTGCTCTTCTCGCTATTTGAATCGGATCACGTCCTATCGTTGGCGAAAAACCTTGGAGAATACCGTTTCCCTCCTCAGTACTGTCCTCCCTCACCTATTCTACCTACCATCTTCCTAAGGTTTGCCAACGTCCCACTACTTTTCTGCTTTTTTATTGGAAATCTGAAAATACTTCACAACCCCCTCCAAAAAAAAACTGCCGTCGGGTGTTGATGGTGGGAGGACGCAAGTCCCCAATTTTCCCTTGTTAGCCCAAAGGCATTTTACTCCAGGACAAATGAGGCTGAGCAGTAGTTCATGATAATTCTTGCAAGGGCGCGGAATGCCGCCATCTTGCATAAGTGCAGTTTCTTCTAGCATTACAATACGCTGCTGTAGTGCACGACAAGTGTATGAAAATGCAGTACACCTCTAAAAATCTGACCTGCACCATGTTGATCTCAAACTTCCTTCTAGTTCATGCGCTAACACTATAAGTGTGTGGAGATTTGGGTACGTGGTACAGAAACCTCACTATCTGCGTACTGCGTTACCGCATTGATCCATGACTGCGTTTGCACGTAGCCGCCACAGTGGAAAATATGGCGCCAGGGTGGGGGCATTGACGGCGGTGTAACGAATCGAAGTCAGCGTTCATAGTTTTACTTCAATTTTAATCAACAAGTATTTTTGATAAATCATCGTTGTTGTTCTCTGGTTCCTAGCCAAGGAATGTCGGTCCATGAATCGCCTAATTGGGCGCGTTATCTGATCAAAGCAATGGGCAATTCCTAAATGCAGTGGAAGGGCTAGAAGCTGTTTTTCGCTTTTCCATCGCCAACCGCAGCTTCATTTGTAATGAAACCAGTGCTATGATGTTCTTGAACTCAATGAACTCTATCGATTTGTACGTCGCGTTATGTCCGCGCGCTTTTAGGTTGAAGCCATTAAATAACTACGCTCGTTCACGAGAACATAAATGGTCATCTTTTAGTGCCACTGACTACTCGTCGTCAAAGATAGCAGCGTCTGATGGCTCTGGACCTATTGATTTTCCTTTCAATAAAGAAGGCTATCGTTATTTCTTAGTGGAAAAGGATCCTAATGTCAATGATAGGTTAGCTTTCTCTTCTCCAACTGTTTGAATTAAACCACTTTTTATCATTTTCGTGGAAGGAACAGTCAACAACGGTACTGTGAAGCTCTTTTTTTTCAGGATAAATTTGGAGGAAGATGATGGATCAGTTCCAAGGATAATTCCACCCCATCTATACAGACTCCATTTCCAACGAACGGTCACGATTTCACCAAACGATCGAGCCCACGAGGTGAGCCAACGTTTATTACCCCAATAAAAGAATAAAGCTTTCGACGTTGATCAATCCCTTTCAGGGATGAGGTACGCATTCCATTTTCATTCAGAATTGTGGTGGCATTTTGCTTATCCTAGACAAATCTGGCGCAAATTCACCGTCCCCGGGGGGGGGGATGGAACACTTGATTAGCCTCGGCGGGAGCCGATCCAGGATTTGACCCGTAGACCCACGCGTGGTAAACGTGCCACAGTGCCACTTGCCACTGCACCATCTCCTCATTCCCTGTATATGCTCTCATAATATTTCATTTCAGTTGCGGGTATCAGACGATCAACTGACTGTAACTGGTTTCGAAGGTTATCGAGTGGCTCGCGCCACCCATTCAGTTGCCAAGGGTACCTGGTACTTCGAAGTGAATTTTCTCAAACAACCAGAAGATTCCCATATCAGAATAGGATGGAGTCAACCACTGGGTGAGTTTTTTCAGTGGTGATTCGCCCACTGCTGTTACTGGTCTACTCAAATCATTCGTACTTCAGCGGTGGTTCAATCCTGTATTGGATACAACAAATTGTCATACAGCTGGCGATCATTGAAAGGAACTAAATTTCATGATGCAATAGGAAAAAAGTATTTTCCTGGTGGATACAAGGTACTTTTCAGACTCGTATCTTATCTGTGGTAATGTTGTAAGGAACTTTGTTCGTTTTTGTTGAAGGTGTAGGGCACTTTCCATCATAACTGATATGGAGCGAAAGGTGATCTAAAGTGAAACTGGAGCTTAATATTGGTACGCGAACAAGGAGGGCAGCAAACTCTTCTCTCGAGGACCAGTAAAACGAACTCGAACGCTCGGATGAGCTCTAGCTTGTTGTCGTTGTTGACATCACCTTTCCCCGTCCTGAAATTATTTTAACTTTTTTAATTGTGACTGTTACTCATCCTCACTTAACTCACATATGATACATTCATCACCGGAGATTAGCATTTTCGTTCTTCCCTGCAACAGGAAGGGGGTATGTTGAGCTGCGATCGCTCATGTGCCCTTCCCCATCGTTGAAGGTTATAAAGCGCTTCAATCCGCTCTGTCGAAGCCCTCGGAAAGACTTCCGAAGTTGAGTGCTTATGTTGTGTCATTTCGTCACAAGTTATATTACCATTAAGAAGCTATACGTCGAGTCCCTTATTTCCATTTGGTTCGTCGGAGTCAGGGCTTTGTCAAGAGATAGGGAGCGACCCCGACCCATAGCGTTTTCCACCACTGGTTGTTTTCGCCTTGAATCGGCCTAATCTCATATTGGTAGAAAGGCAAGAGAAGG